AGCCAGCACAATAGGGGGTACACTGGCATTGCTATTAGACTGAGCTGATTAATGTATGACTTTTATGTATTCCCCTGGTACTTCATGCACCTCACATTTCACATGGGTAGAAGCCCTTCCCACTGCACTACGGAGGATAACGACACTTTGACTGTAGAGAAAGGATACATCAGGCCGAGGCATCAAGCGAGTGAAGTCCAAGACCTAAGTAGTCTAGGACCTTTACTGTGGTGAAAACAAGGAGGGGAGAAGGCGATAATCGTTCCTGACCTCAGCCCTCTAGCCTACCTGGATGCTGAGCTCTCCCACGTCTAGGAGATCACAGCCGAGATTAAAAGCCAGAGTGGCGGGCACGAGGGCCAGTCCATCGGCCAGGGCTTCTCCCACCGGCCCAGAGCCGGGCCCCAACCGGGCTGGAAGGTCCCAGCGCGGCTCCAGGACCCGCACCGTGGCCAGGCGTGGCTGGGAGGCCTCCGATGCCGCTTCGGTCCGGGTCACCCACACCCACTCGCCCTGGAAGAGGCCGAGGCTACGGAGACAACTCCGGCTCACCCCCAGGGACTCCCCAGTGCCACCTACGACCCCCCGGAGCCGCCGGGCCGCCCCGGAAGCCGCGAAGGAGGACACCAGGGGCGGGGGTGCGGGCCGGCCGCGGTCCCCCGCCTCCTGGCCCGGCGTGGGCCGCCCTCGGAGCTCGGTCACAGCCAGCCGCGTCCCCGGGCCCAGCAGCCCTTGCAGCGCCGGCCGCGTCTCCAGCACCCGCGGTCCGGGCGCGGGCGCCGGCACGGGCAGGGCCTCCCCGCGCCGCACCAGCAGCGGCCCGATCCGCGGTGCGAGCCCGGGCCCCGGCGGCGAGGTGCCGAGCAGCGCCCAGCCCAGCGCCGGAGGCCGCCGCACCGGCCGCGCCCGCACGCGCGCCCCGGAGCCCAGCGCCAGGAGCCGCAGCAGCGCGCGGCTCACCAGCAGCTGCGGGGGCCCGGGCCCCTGCTCCGCGACCCCCTGCTCCTCCAGCCCCGCGCCCGCGCCCTCCAGCGCCGCCACCAGCAGCGCCGGCCCCGCCGGGCTCTCCCCCGCCGGCCGCAGGGCCAGCACCAGCCCGTGCCCCGCCGCGGGCCACGGGCCCCCGGGCGGCAGCAGCACCGCCAGCGGGGGCGTCTCGCTCGGGAAGGGCTCCAGGACCCGCAGGACTGCCAGCGCCATGGCGACAGGGGCCAGGGGAGCCGGGGAAGCAGCGCGTCTCACACCCGGAGGCGGACACCCAGCGGCCCCGCGGCGTGCGCCGCTTCCGCTTCCGCTTCCGCCTCCGCCGGGGGAGGGGCGGGTCAGGTGGGAGGGGCGTGGGGGCAGCGCGCGTGCTCCGAGGGGGAGCTGCGCCCTGGCTGCATCTGGCTGGTACCTCGATGGATGGATGGCAGGAACACCATTCGCTGCGGTTGCACAGTCTTCACACACGCGTCCTCTCAAACTGTGTCCAGGGGTTTGCTTTGCACGCCTGGTAAGGGAGTGACGTCCTCTCAGCCACCTCGCCCCACAGCATGCACTTAATTTCTTTCTTTTTTTAAAAGAAAAAATATATTTTATTGATTTTTCACAGAGAGGAACGGAGAGAGATAGAGTGTCAGAAGCATCGATGAGAGAGAAACATCAATCAGCTGCCTCTTGCACATGGGGATGTGCCCGCAACCAAGGTACATGCCCTTGACCGGAATCGAACCCAGGACACTCCAGCCAAACCGGTCTCCGCTAATTTCTTTTGAATCATCAGTGAACGGTCAGCGTGCAGCGGCCCAACTGGGCCCGTGCCTGAGAGTTGTGGGCGGAGTATTTAGGAAGGAGTCTATTTCTCTGTAGAAATCCTACAGTTCCCACTGTGCAAGGGTAGGCACTGAGGTTTGGGGGGTGTGGAAGGTTGAAGCAGGGAGTGGTAGGGTTATTAAAACTGTCCCAGGCATGCCTGTGGCTATGCAGTGCTTGCTGGCTGCATTACTGCATGTGATTCATGGGGCCCTGGAGTGCTGAGTGCTGCCACACCTGTTCCAGCTCATCCTACACAAAACCCACGCTCCAGTGTTTCTGGTCCTGTTTCTTCTACTCCCACCAAATGTGAAGCAAAGACAAAGCAGCTTTGCTTTTTTCATCCCTCCAAAACCAGCTGTTCTCCCCCAGCCAATCCTTGCAAACGGGAGATCCATTTCCTGTTTCTAGGGGAATTTGGGGTGGGGGTGGGGGAGAAAGGGGGGATAGCATAGCAAGGAGAAGAGAGTGGTTCAAGGCTTCAGTCATGAGCACCAAACCAATAGCTTGCGTCCCACCTGTACTGTTACTTAGATCTCATACTCGTTTCCATCTCCCTGCTCTGCACAAGACACTAGATACTGGTAGGCCATGCTTCCAGTTATTAACAATATGTAGGGTTCCCCCAAAATGTATACACACACTTTGAATAATTATAAAGGCAGTGTTTATTAAAATCCATTGCATTTTCAAAATTGAGCTATTAGCTGTTAAAGTGTATATACATTTTGGGGGGACACCCTGTACTGTATATGTACTCAGAATCCATGGGTTCCTTGGTGGTAATCTACTCTTTCTGGACCGTGCATGCTCTTCCAGCTACGGCCCAACTTTCTCCTTTCCTTCACAGCAAGCATCTTGAGGCAGTCTTCTACTCTGCCCATTATGTTCCTAAAAATGCAAGAGTTGAATATTACATTTACATGTTATAAGGCATTTCCATCCCTAAAGCCATAAGATTTTTGAAAAATGTCTGATTATAGTTTCTGGAGGTACCTCTAGTCCTAAACCTGAAATGGCACAGTCCCAAATCTTTAGAACAGCATGCAAGAATGCAGTAGGTAGCTGAATTCACATGGATGAAAATTCCTAGTTGGTAATTCTAAACTATTATGTGTCTCTGTTCCCTGCCCCCAGAGGACCGAGGACTGAAAGGCTGGTGGGGTGAGTCCAAAGAGGATAAGCTTGCTTTACACAGTAGCAGGCCAGTAAAGCAATTACTTATGACTGCGGTACTGCTTGAGGTCTCCAGAATAGGTAAATACATCTGGTATCCTGTCTCAGTGGGCACCCACGTGGACACAAATATCCATCCATAAATATATGTCCTTTTCCCCAGCAAATAATGGCTGGCATACAGTCCAAACGGCATTACCTTAAAATTGTATTAGTCACTGGGAGCCAAACACTACTTCTATAAGTCTTCCACACCTCTTATGCTCTTCGACCCACTATAAGCTTCCTTTTACTCCTCTGAAACTTTCCTGTAAAGATCACCAAAACCTCTCAACTGCAGAATCAAGGTGATGCTATCTGATCTTTATCTTACTCAGTCTTCCTCTGGAATCTGACACTACTGACCAATTCTCTTACTTCCTTTGCCATTATGACACCAGTTTCCCTTCTACATCCCTGATAGCTTCCTGAAGTCATCCTCAACTCCTCCCTTTCCCTTACAAATCTTCCCCACAATCCAGTGAATCACCAAATCCTGTTGCTTTTACACATTTCCCAATTCCATCCTTCCTCTCCATGCCCATGGCAATCTATGTTTATAAAAGCCTAATCTGCAAAGTGCCCCTCCTGAGTTCAACTCACCAGGAGTTTGATCACTTGCTATGAAGTGCAATGACCACCAGAGGGTGGTGCAGAATGAAGGAAGGCCCCAGCTGGCAGCTGTTAGGGACCTCTAATTGTATTATAAATGCATGTAAATGAATTTCACACACTGGGCCTCTAGTTGTATTATTATATAAATGCATTTTTTATTGATTTTTTTTTTTTTTTTTTTACAGAGAGGAAGGGAGAGAGATAGTTAGAAACATTGATGCGAGAGAAACATCGATCAGCTGCCTCCTGCACACCCCGCACTGGGGATGTGCCTGCAACCAAGGTACAGGCCCTTGACCAGAACCGAACCCAGGACCTTTCCGTCCACCGGCCGATGGTCTATCCACTGAGCCAAACAGATTTCGGCATCTAGTTGTATTATAACATTGCTCTCCTGGGCAAGGAGTACAGGCTTATTCTTAAGCCTTCTCCAGTTTCTTCATGTAGTCAATCTGCTCCTGGAGTCAACTTTCTGAAACATGCTCCTCCAGCCCAATCTAGGTTTGTGTAATTTATTACACTGTATCTTAACCATCTGTTTACACCTGTCTGTGAACTTCACCTGACTCGAACTCCTTGAGGGCAGGAACTGATCTTATCCATTAGGACATTAGCTTGTGCAGGGTTGGGGAGTAAGGGATGTATTTCCCAAGACACTAAACCCCGAGTTTCCAAGTGTGCAAATCTAGCTGGTGCCCCCATCCCAGGAGATCTGCAGTAGGAACAGGGGCCCACTTCCCAAAGTAGCAACAAACCCTGGATTCTCATCTCATTGCACCCAGGCCCCAGTCTGCGGGGCTTCCCCTTTGATCCTCTGCAAGCCCTGTCTAGGAAAGGGATGCCATCGAGCACTCTCCACCAAGTGGAGCTACGTTACCCTGAAGAAGAAAGGTACCCCTTCCTTTTAGGGCTTCTTTCCTTCCATTCGGACTGGGCAGAGTGGAGGAAGAGAGAGAGCCCCCTCAGAAGGGAACAGGCCGTGAGGAAAGGCCGAGGCCGACGTACCGCCGGAGTGCGGCACTCGGTCCTCAGCTCGGGCTTCCCCTCACCCCGCCTCCTTCTGCAAGCCCCGCCCACTTTAGGGCGGGACCTCCCCCTTGAGCCAATTCCTGGAGCCGAACCCTGGCGGTTTGTACTCTTCTTTTCCAATGAGAAAAAAAGAAAGCAGCTTGGCTCCAGTGGCCAATCCGGAAAGGCGGCGTCCGGTTGTCAGGCAGGTTTGGGGGAGTTCGGGCCAATTGGAGGCGCAGACCCCGATCCACCCGGGCGCAGCGCGCAGGCGGCGGCGAGGAGACGCCGAGCGGGCCGAGTGCGGCCGAGCAAAGCCGGAGCCGGAGCGGGGCCGCAGGAGCCAGGCCGGGTCCGGACGGGCCGAGATGCCCTATAAACTGAAGAAGGAGAAGGTGAGCGTCGCCCTTTTCCTTCCGCCTCCGCCTTGGGGCCTGCGCGGAGCTCTGGGAGGGGCTCGAGCCAGGCCCGGGACAGCCCCGGACTGACCCTCCCGTCCGGCCCCCGCAGGACTCCCCGGGCCAGCCCTCTGCCCCCGCCGCCGGGCGCACCCCCAGCCTGGGCTGCAGCTGGGAAAGCACCCTCCTCTGGCGCGAGATAGAGTCCCCCCCACTTCCACCTCCCGACCTACCCCGCCCAGGGTAACCCCTCCCTCCAGATCTGTCCCCCTCCCAAGTCACTCCCCGCTTTCTCTCCCCTCACCCCTGACCCCCGACCCCCACGGGTCTGCTGGTTTGGGACAGCCCTGATCAGAGGTAGTCCCTGCAGAACTACCCACCCTCCCAGCCCCTTCCCTCCTCTTCCGACCCGCCCGGGCCTGCGCTGGCCTTCCCCTCCTCTCCCTACAGCCCCTTCTCCCGCCCTGCCAAGCTCCCTGACCTAGAACAGCTCTGCTTTCTCTCTTCTCCGCCGAATCTGGCCTAGGCCCCTCCCTCCAGTTCTCCCTTCACACACAAACTTGTGAGCCAGGACCGAGCCTTTCCTTCTGGTCCGTGGAACCTCAGGATGTCAGTGCTGGATGGGACCGCTGAGTGCCACCTGGAGTGGTACAGATGAGGAGACTGAGGCCCGCACAGAAGAAGGGACTTGGCCAAGGTCACACAACCTGCTGGAGGCCCAGCTGCAATACCAGGGCTCCTGGCTGAGAGGCCCCTTCTTACCCAAGTCCCCTCTAACAGGCATCAACCATCTCCCAGGTTCAGACCAGCCACCGTTCCCAGTCTGAGCATTACCCCTAATCCTGGGGTTTGCATTTATTATTTTTTGCACAGTGCTGGACTTCTGACTTTCCTGGGCCATACTGTCTATAAATCTGGAATCTGCCCTCTCTATCAGATTAGTTTTCCTTCTTACCCTATGGACTAGCCACCTCTGAATGGTGTCCTGACACAAGCTGTTTCTTTCCTTAAAAAAAAAAAAAAGCTTTATTTATCGATTGGTTACTTTTAGAGGGGGGGGGGTGGAGGGAGGGAGAGAAAATTCAATTTGTTGTTCCACTTATTTATGCATTCCCTGGTCAATTCTTGTATGTGCCCTGACTGGGGATCAAACCCACAATCTTGGCATATCAGGATGACATTCTAACCAACTGAGCTACCTTCCTCCATATCACCTTCCTGTTCTTCATCCCTGCCTTTCTCTGCCCTCTATTTCCTGCTGTTGCTGAGATCTGACTCAGAGGTGTGGTTCCTTTGAGGTACGGATTCACACAGAGGATGCTAGAACACCAGTTCCAGCCTCCCCCAGCTTCTCCTTTCCTGGCTGGTTCCTCGGGCTGAGGGGACAGCTCTGGCCTGGTGTGCTGCACCAACATGAGTAACCTACTTTACGACCCCAGAGGTGTCCTGCTTTCGTTTGTCCTCTGATGGGCTGGGTAGCTGTGCTCCATCTCTGACCTCATCAGTTAAACTCTGTATCCTGGGCTGTTGGAGATCTGCCAGGGTAGTCCCCATAACTCTCAGGTCCTGCTGTTCTTTTTTTTTTTTTTTTAAATATATATTTTATTGATTTTTTACAAAGAGGAGAGAGGGATAGAGAGTTAGAAACATCGATGAGAGAGAATCATCGATCAGCTGCCTCTTGCACACCCCCCAGAGGGGATGTGCCCGCAACCAAGGTACATGCCCTTGACCGGAATCGAACCTGGGACCTTTCAGTCCGCAGTCCGACGCTCTATCCACTGAGCCAAACCGGTTTTGGCTCAGGTCCTGCTGTTCTGAGTGTAGGGTTGTGATGGAGCACTAGGCACTGAATTCGTGGGGCGCTGAGTTGGTCAGGGTTGTGTGCCCCACCCAGGCCCTGTCCTTGGCAAGTGGGCATGCTACAGTGGTTTGGGCAGCTTAGCTTTAAATGATACACACACAGGGGCTAAAGGGCTCCTTCAAAGGGGCACAGGTTCGATTCCCAGTCAAGGGCAGGCACCTGGGTTGCAGGTTTGATCCCTGGTTTGGTCAGGGCGCATGCAGGAGGCAATTAATAGATGTGTCTTTCTCACATTGATGTTTCTCCCCACCCCCCTTTCTTTTTCTTACTTTCTTTCTTTTCTTTTCTTTTTTAATAATTTTATTTTTTTTCTTTTTCTTTTTTTAATATATTTTTTATTGATTTTTTACAGAGAGGAAAGGAGAGGGATAGAGAGTTAGAAACATTGATGAGAATCATCAATCAGCTACCTCTTGCACATCCCCTATTGGGGATGTGCCCACAACCAAGGTACATACCCTTGACCGGAATCGAACCTGGGACCTTTCAGTCTGCAGGCCAAAGCTCTATCCGCTGAGCCAAACCGGTTTTGCCCCCCACCCCCTTTCTGTCTTTCCCTCTCTTACTTTCCCTCCCCCCTCTTCCCTCTCCCCCTCCTTCCCTCCCTCTGTTCCACTGTCTCTAAAAGTCAATGGGGGGGGGGGGGGGATCCTTTGGTGAGGATTAAAAAAAAATAAACCCTGCCTGGCCGGCATGGCTCAGTGGTTGAATGTGGGCCTGTGAATCAGGAGGTCACGGATCGATTCCCAGTCAGGGCACATGCCCAGGTTGTGGGTTGGATCCCCAAGTGTGGGGCGTATAGGAGGCAGCCGATCAGTGATTCTCTCTCATCATAGATGTTTCTATCTTTCTTTCTCTTCCTTTCTGAAAACAATAAAAATATATTTTAAAAAAAGAGAAGGAAGCCGAGACTGGTTTGGCTCAGTGATAGAGCGTCGGTCTGCGGACTGAAAGGTCCCAGGTTCGATTCCAGTCAAGGGCATGTACATTGGTTGCGGGCACATCCCCGGTGGGGGGTGTGCAGGAGGCAGCTGATCGATGTTTCTCTCTCATCGACGTTTCTGGCTCTCTATCCCTCTCTCCTCCTCTCTCTAAAAAATCAATAAAACTATATTTAAAAAAAGAGAGAGAGAGAAGGAAATCTTACCAAAAAGAAAGCCCTGCACCGGTGTAGCTCGGTTGGTTGAGCATTATCCCATGAACAGAGGTCACCTGTTCAGTTCCTGTTCAGGGCACATGCCCAGGTTGCAGGCTCCATCCCTGGTTGGGGGTGTGCAAGAGGCAGCCGATCCATGTTTCTCACATTGATGTTTCACTCTTTTTCCCTCTTCTTTCCTCTCTCTCTCAAAAAAAAAAAAAAAAAAAAAAAAAAAAAAGCAGTGAAAATGTATTTTTTTAAAAGAATGCAGAGGGGCATGGAATTTAGGGGCAGCTGGTGAGGGCTCCACCTGTCCGTAGTTTTTAGTCTGTTGGAACAGATATTGTACCATCCACAGAAAGACTTTCTTTTAGATGAGAGAAGAAGAAATTTGAATTTGGCTTGCAGGGCCACAGGGATAAGTATTTGGTTGGAAAGAGTGTTGGAAGGATTGGATACATGGAGCCAGGCATCTCTGATCCCTTTCCAGGCTTAACATTCTGCTTTTGATTTCTAATTGCCTTTGGCCTTCTTCAATCAATGATTGTCAAATCCTGAGGAGGAAGGTGGTACATGTGGCAGATTTGCCTGGATGGGGTAGGGACAGAAAGAAGGGATGGGTAAAAGGGATGCTCACCCATCACATCTCTCCTTTCTCCTCCATCTGAGTGGGCCCCAGTCCTGGTCATCCTCAGAGCTTCTTCCCTGAAGCCGCTCCTGAACCTTCAGGTGGGAGTGAGCTCCCCTCTTCCCCGGATTTACAGAACACTTGGTAGGTCACTTATGCCCCTTTTGTGTGTTTTTTGGACTGGAATAAATTATGGGCAAGTCCTAACTAAGTTCCATTTTGGTTTGGCATCTCCTTCGCACACAGTAGGCCCTCAATGGATGGGTGCCAAGTCAATCCCTCTTCTTCCCTCATGTTCTGATCTGAGACTTACATCTTTTAGGTTCCTGAGCCCCTGCTCCCTCCCACTTCTTGTTCATACTGATAGAAATAACACTGACTAACACTAAGATTTTCTTGGACACTGTGCTAAGGGAATCAGAAACCACGATTGTTGTCACTTAGTAGATGAGGAAACTGAGGCTCCGAGAGGCTAGTTGTGTAGGATCATGTAACTGGTAAGAGTTGGGCCTGGAACACAGGGCTGGCTCCATGGCGCCATGCAGCCCTGGACCGCTGGGCTGGCTGGCGGGTGTGCCCTTCACCTGTCCTGCAGGAGCCAGGGTGTGAGAGTGGCGGGCCACACAGCTGGGATCTCTTAGGCGCATTCCCTGAGAGATGACTGAGTGCTTGTAGGTAGGTGGGGGGTGGGGGGGAGACAAAAAAGACCAGTAGCTTATGATCAAGTCGAAAGATGAGACACATACGAAGAGGGGTCATCTGTGTCCAAGGGGCCCACATCTGAGGCCTGTACAGTCACCTGTGTTGTGTTCTGCCTGCACCCCCTCATCCTTTTCCTCTCACCCCATGGTCTGAGCCACTCCCTGGGCCCTTGATGAGAGGCCATTGAGCCCAGCGTGGTCAGTAGGCAGTGGAAGAGTATTCAGCCCAAAGAAGGAGCGCCTGCCTGCTCCTCCTTGCTCACGTGACTGCTCGCTCGGAGCCGCTCCACACCTGGGAATGGCTTCCTTCTCCCCGCCCCCACAGAGCCTTCCCCCTCCTCCACCCACACAGAGCTTTCTTCTCCCTGAAATCTATTTGCCCCCTCGTCACAACCACTTGATTTAATGCTTCTCGCTGGAGGAGCTTGGATGCCATGGAGTTGCAGAATCTCAGGGCCGGAAGTGATTTCCCAGGTCCTCCAATCCAGTCTTCATGAAGGCTCGGAACCCCTTCCTTCGGCACCCTGCCTCGGAGGAGGCGTCGCTGCGCCCCTGCTCGAATGCTCTTGGGGTTGGGGCCTCGCAGCCTCACGAGGCAGCCGGCTTCTGGGCAGCTGCTCTGGCGGAAAGTCTTCCTCCTTTGGAGCCTCCTTGTCTTCCTGCCGCTTCAGCCTCTTGAGCCCCTGGCTCCACACAGCGCAAGTTGCCTCTCTTGTCCACAGGACAGCCCTTTAGTTGTTTGTAAAGAACCCTCTTGCTCCCCCTCCTGCATGACTCCTCCCTGCCGTTGTCACCTCTCCCAGTTCCTGCAGCTGTTGGTCTCAGGACATGCTTTTGAGTCCACTCCAGTATGGGTTGTATTCCACCCCCCCCCCACACACACACACAAACACCAAAGAAAACCTAGAACTTGCCTTTGTCCCTCCCGAAGTCTGTTGCTCACAGCTGAACCAGACCCTCCACAATGGCCCGTCCATCAGTTCCAGGGACGGTGCTTCCGGGTCCCCATTGCAAGCGCTCCGCTCACACAGGCCTTCAGTTGGACGGTTCAGGGAGCTGCTGGGCTCCCACGGCTCACAGCTGGATTGCTCTGAGCTTGCAGTCAGACCTAAACCCCACGTCTCTCACATTTTCCCCTTCTTGTCCCTGTGCGGTTGCTTATTTTGGCCCTAAGCATAGGAAGAGACGCTGGGCGCCCGGAGCCAGCGGCCAGGTTCCCGCGGGAGGCTTGGGACTAGTGCTCGCTCTTTGTAGGAGTTCAGGGCCTTACTCCCACCCGTCTCTGCCCTGTCCCCCGAGGTGTTCTTGGGACAGTCCCTGTACACGTTAGCATTCCGGGGCCCCGCCGATGGTGCCAGTGTCACCCTGGCTTCGGGGTGCTATTTGTGACATTTCACAGAAATGCCTCCCGCTCTTTCCAGCTGGCTTTGCGGGGAGAGTGGCGACTCCTTCCCCTCCAGCACGAGAGCCTCGGGCACCCTCTGCCCACTCTGGCCCCAGCGGGCGAGCTGGTGTGAGCAGCTTGTTCCGTCATGCTTTTCCCTGAAGACTGTTCACCTGGTTGTTGACAGAGGCACTCCCAGGCCCTAACTCCTCTACCAGCCTCGGGAGGGGAAAGCATGATCACACCTCTTTATTGTGTGTGGGAGATGTCTTCCCGACCAGATCCTATACTCCTCGGGGGACTAAGTTTCCCTTCTGTGCCCCAACCCCTCCTCCCCTGGGCTGGATACAAGCAGGTGCTCCGTAGTTCTTGTTGGCTGATGGATTGATTCAACTGGACAGAGGATCATTACAGCAAAGACCTAAAGGGTCCAGACAAGGCCTCTCCCTTCCCCTGGCAAATACTAACTCCCCCTCCGTCTTCTTCCTTCAGGAGCCCCCCAAGATTGCCAAAGGCACGGCCAAGTCCAGCAGCTCGGGCAAGGATGGCGGAGGCGAGAGTGCTGAGGAGGTAATGACCGTGGTCGCAGCCCTGGTTGTGCCGTACACACCAGCTCCAGCCGCCGGCTGGCCGGCTAGTGGGGTGAGGCAGCCCAGGGGACCAGGCTCCCCAGCCTGGGAGGGACCTCGGGCAGGTTTCGCTTCGGCTGGTGCGGACCAAACAAGTTCTCCCGTTCTCCAGCCTCCCCGGCGATTCCTGTGAAAGCTGTTTCTCTGTCTAAACAACTCTGAGTATGGAGCTCCCCTTTTCCTTAGGGCGAAAAGCTAGGGGTACCAGGGCCTGGGAAGAAGGGGAGAAGTATATGGTGCTAGGTGGCGAGGGGCTTCCGCATGGCTCTGGATGGGGGTGAGGGTGGGGGTGGGGGTGGGGGTGGGGAGTGGCTGGTGTTCCCGAGTCGGCCGGTCCTGATCCAATGGGAGCTGCTGCAGGACAGTTATGAGCAGAGGTCAGCGCAGCCCGGCAGTCTTCGGTTGTAAAGCAATAAACGGCAAGCGGAGAGCACAGTGGCGGGCGGAGGGCCGTAAGGAAGTCCAGAGTATGTCCATGAAGGTTTCAGTGTGCTCAGGGCATCTCAGGCGGCTGCGTGACCCTGACATCGCTGAACAAATGCTCTTATTTCCCAAGGGCTGGTGGGCCTTGATTGCTCTGCTTCCTGCTTCCTGTTCTAACCTGTTTCAGAGGGATGGAGGAGAACAGAAAACAGGGGCAGGTCTTGAGTGTTTTGGGGAGAAGAGATCGATTAACAAGTGTTTGGGGTTAACCCTGGAGGTCCCTGTCACCTTTAAAGAGATCTGCACACTTTTCACGCCTGTGCCCATTGTTTTAGGCCTCATTTGAGGAATTGGAAGAAGCAGGGTGGGTGTCCCCCCGCTTTGCAGACAGGGAAGTTGTGGGCCGCAGAAGATAAATTCCTCCTCCTCCGCACTGACACAGTCATCTGATCAGGTCTCTAGAAGAGTGCTTATCACTGGGCATTGTGACTGTTCGCACACGTGTTTTTCCCACCGACCGTGGGCTCTGAGGGAAGGAGCTGGCCTCTTCCCGCTCCCGTGTGCTCCTGCCCGTTCACAGTAGGCAGGTCAAGGCTTCCTCGGGGCACGCCCTCTGGGCTCAGCCTCCCCTGCAGGAATGATGACACCTGTGGAACCCACAGGGCAGGTTCTTGGGAACTGGCAGCTGATATTCAGAGCAGCAAGAGAGACTTAGAAGCTGGACGGAAAGACTAGTTAGGGGACTGCTCCCAGCTTTTGCCTATTACCTACTTGTTCAGTTATTAGATTGATGCCACTTATCATCATCACACCAGGATTATAGGAAATAAAAGGACTTTTTATTTTTTATTTATTTATTAAAAATATTTTATTGATTTTTTACAGAGAGGAAGGGAGAGGGATAGAAAGTTAGAAACATTGCTGAGAGAGAGTCATCGATCAGCCGCCTCCTGCACACCCCTTACTAGGGATGTGCCCGCAACCAAGGTACATGCCCTTGACCGGAATCAAACCTGGGACCTTTTAGTCCACAGACTGACACTCTATCCACTGAGCCAAACCAGTTTTGGCTAAAAGGACTTTTTAAGAAGAACAAAGGAGGGGGGGCGGGGAAGGAACATAAATATAAATAATAAAATGGCAATAACTACATTCCTATCAATAATCACTTTAAATGTAAATGAAATAAGTTCTCCAATCAAAAGACAAAGAGTAGCTGAATGGATAAGAAAACAAGATCCCTATATATATATATATATATATATATATATATATATACACACACACACCCTGAGAGGCCAGATTATTATGAACTCTGAATGCATAATAATCTGGCCACTCAGTGTATATCCTATATAATAAAGGGCTAATATGCAAATTGTCCCCTCGACCAGGAGTTTGACCAGCAGGCAGGCCGGCCAACCGCCTATGTTCCCTCCCCCTGGTCAGGCTGGCCGGACCCCACCCATGCACGAATTCATGCACCGGGCCTCTAACACACACACACACACACACACACACACACACACACACACACTGAGTGGCTAGATTATTATGTGTTCAGAGATCATAATAATCTGGCCACTCATTGTATATATTAGAGGCCCAATGCATGAAGATTCGTGCAAGAATGGGCCTTCCTTCCCCTGGCTGCCAGCATAGCCTTCCCTCCGGCCAGGAGCCACCTTTCCGCCTTCCCATGCTGCCCAGAGGCCCGGAGCTGCTAGGGCCTGTGCCCATGAACCAGATGTGTTCCACTCTACTCCCAGCCTGCATATGCAAATTAACTCTCCATCTTTGTTGGGTTAATTTGCATACTCCTGATTGGCTGGTGGGTGGCACAAAGGTATGGTCAATTTGCACCTTTCTCTTTTATTAGTGTAGATATATATACTGTCTACAAGAGACCCACTTCAGATTGAAAAGACACACAGACTGAAAGTAAAGGGGAAAAGGTATTTCATGCAAATAAAAATTTTAAAAAGCTGGCATAGCAATAAATATATCACACAAAATATCAATAAAATATATAAAGAATAAGGCAATTATAAAACTGATGGCTATTTTTATAGTTTTAAAATTTATATTTTTTGTGATTTTAGAGAAGAAGGGAGAGGGAGAAAGAGAAACATCAATGATGTGAATCATTGATTGGCTGCCTCCTGCATGACCCTTGCTGAGGATTGAGCCCACAACCTGGGCATATGCCCTGACTGGGAATCGAACTGTGACCTCCTAGTTCATAGGTTGATGCTCAACCACTAAGTCACACCAACCGGGCTATTTTTTTCTCTATTGGAACAAATAAATAAGCATCTTATTAGCTGAGTCTACGGTGTTGACTATAAAAGACTTACTATGTAAGAATATAAATGCCCAAAACATTTATAGTATTTCATTTATTTTAAATAAAATCAAACTGATTAAGCATGACTGTTGTGGCTCAGTGGTTGAGTGTCGACCCATGAACCAGGTCACAGTTTGGTTGCAGGCTCGATCCACAGTGGGGGGCATGCAGGAGACAGCAGACCAATGATTCTCTCTCATCATTGATGTTTCTATCTCTTTCTCCCTCTCCCTTCCTCCCTAAAATCAATAAAAATATTTTTTAAAAAATCAAACTAATTAAAAATGAAAAGAAATATAAAAAGAAAAGGATTGATGTCATTTCCTAAAAGCAGCCTTTTAAAAAATTAAATATATATATATATATATATATATATATATATAATTGATTTTTTCACAGGGGGAAAGGAAGAGGGATAGAGAGTTAGAAACATTGATGAGAGAGAAACATCGATCAACTGCCTCCTGTGCACTCGCTATTGGGTACGCGTCTGCAACCAAGGAACATGCCCTTGACCGGAATCGAACCTGAGACCCTTGAGGTCGCAGGCCAACACTCTATCCACTGAGCCAAACTGGTTAGGGCAAAAGCAGCCTTTCTTGACCACCGCCTCACCCCCATCCCCGCCTGCCCAGGACAAGGTCAGGGCTCCTGCTCTTCGCTCTTCTGGCTCCCAGACCATCCACGGCAGCACGTAACGGCAGCTGTGATGGAAGATGCCATGTGGACCATTGTCCAGGAGCCGGCTCCTTTGCTAGCGTGTGAGCTCCGTGAGGCTCTCCTTCAGTGTCCAAGGGCCTGGCACACGGGAGGCGCCAGCATTTGAATGCATTAGTGAGTGAAAACCGAATGAGCAAACCAATTTCAAATTAGAGCTGGAGTCTAACCCTCTCCTTTCATAGGTGGGAAAACGAAGGCTCCCACAGATTAAGAAATATGCCAAGACCAGCTGCTAGGATTTCTCCGCTGCATTTCTGGACAGATCTGATAAAGGCAGGCATAGGTCCATTTCAAGCCCTTTGGGGCGGGAGTGTTGAGTTCGCCTTTGGCGCTGCTTTGTGAAACGCTGCTCAGGGCTTACCTGTAAGGCAGCCAGGGGAATTCTGCTACATGCTTTCCTCGAAACGTACCCAGGTGGCCCCAGCCGAGGGACAGTGGGAAAGTCGGTGGCCAGGCTGCGAGGTCATCACAAGCTGTTTGGCAGTCTTCTCCTTGCCCTTCGTGCAGTCCAGAATTTTGGGCTCTCACGGCCAAATTTACCCTGTGTTAAGCATTTGCCAGTCTTTCCAACTGACCCTAATAATTATAGCAGCCAGCATTGATTTTACTGAACAGTGACTTGTATATTAGTGTCCTGGGGCAGCCATCACAAATGACCACAAACTGGGTGGATTATAATAGCGGGTTTATTTCTCCCAGTTCTGGAGGTCAATTTCTGAAACCGAGGTGTCAGCAGGCCAGTTCCCCTGAGGTCCGGGGAAGAGCCTGTGCCGAGCCTCTCCTAGCTCCTCGAGGCTCTCAGCACTTCCTGGTGTTCCTACCCCCGTCTCCACACGCCTTCTCCCCTGTGTGTGCAGCTGCGTTTCTGTGTCCACATTGCCCGCTTCTTATAAGGACACCAGTCCTGTTGGATTTAGCATCCATCCTAATCCAATATGACCTCATTTTTATTTGATTTCATCAGCAAAGAGCCTATTTCCAAATAAGGTCACTTTCACAGATGCTGGGTTGATGTGGATCTGGGGGACACTGTTCTACACTCTGTACCAACCACTGTGCTGAGGACCTGAGTACTTTGCGTGCATTTCATTTTAATTTTTTAAAATATATTTTATTGATTTTTTTACAGAGAGGAAGAGAGAGGGATAGAGTTTGAAACATCAATGAGAGAGAAACATCTGTCAGCTGCCTCCTGCACACCCTCCACTGGGGATGTGCCTGCAACCAAGGTACATGCCCTTGACTGGAATCGGACCTGGAACCTCTCAGTCTGCAGACGGATGCTCTAGCCACTGAGCCAAACCGGTCAGGGCGCATGCATTTAATTTATAACTTTCTCGTTTAATCTTCACGACACTCCTGTGAGGTCATTCCATTATCATTGTCCCTATTTTACAGATGAAACTGAGGTTTAACAGTGCTAGCTAGCTTTTACTTGGCAGTGAAACAGC